CCTTGGCTGTTGATGCCTTCAGCCAGGATTAGTCTCATCTGTTCCTTTATGTTTACCCTCCCATCCGTTTACTTTATCGCGTGGTCTCTCTCATCCATGCCACTCTAGGCACAGTCCTTCTGATTGCTCCTTACTGGCCTGTTCAACTTTGGTTTCCTCGGTTGCTCCAACTGCAGGTGGTCCCTCCCCTTCCTCTTCCCAACCTGCTCTGTCAACCCCAGTCACTAGCACTTGAGAAGGTCAGTCTGCCTTTTCCCCTATCTGCCTATCATTTATATCTCATCCTTACTCACGTTCTGATCTGGATAGACTCCTCTGTCCTGTCTGTGCCCTCCATTGTTATATTGCTTGCACAACTTCCTTCCGGGGTCCTTGTTCCTGTCTTTTTATCCCTTGGCAACCTTCCTCTTCACGTGATCTTTCCCTGGTTAACCTGACCAATTGGGTTCAACGTTTGATCCAGTTGGTCAATTCCTCCTTGTTTCCTTCCCAGCATAATCTTTTTCATGTTTCCTCACATCAAATCCATCACCTTACCTCCTCACTTGCCTTTCTTTTGCATCGTCCATTGAAAGAGATTCTATGATTGGGCATGTGGACGACTCCTCACACGTTCATCTCCCATTACCTACACCACATCGCAGTTTCTGCTTCTTTGTGGTATCTCCTGCTGCCTGTGGCCATTCTACAGACCTTGGTGACATGAGTAAGTCCTTACTACTAATGCTTTCTTTTCTTTTAGGGGCCCCTGCTTTAGCTTCAATTTGGATCCCACTCTGTGGTGAGTGGTGCCTGACCAGGTATTCTGTTTGTACTTGGAATGTGTTCCACTTAGATGGCTATAACCATTCGCAGACATCTTGCTATCAAATCCACATTGTAAGCCATGTTGATTCTTACACATTTTCCATGACTATGTACACTCATCCTTGAGATGGGTGTTTCACAAGATCACTAGAGTGTAAATTTCTTGTGATAATTGCATCATAATATGCCCGTCTCGGACCATACCACCCATGGACGGCATGGGTCAAGAAGAAAGGGATTGCTGCCCATCTCTGCTATGCCTAGATTGAATAAATAAGTGTGGTCTGCTTTTCAAAATAGTGTTTTCGTGATCACCCATTGCACTGTCTCGGGAGTTACAGTCCCTCCGGACTCCATCACACTTTCTACTCCCTTTCTTCTAGTGGAGCATGGGAGTTCTTACCACTTACCAGTTTAAAGCTGCTGGGGTTGTTGATCATGGAGGCAACCTACTGGATGGGTTTCACAAAGATGGTTATAACTATTCAGTTCAGAGTAGGGCGGGGTGTTCTTTTCGTGTAGAGAGAGTTACAAGATCCTCCTGATGAGTAACTATTTCCCAGAGTTGAGATGCCCAAATACAGTTCACCTGTATGATTTGATGCCCTCCTCCTACTCTTGCTTGGATGTTGGTATTCAGTGAGTGAGGTTTTAGAGATCGAGTGAACCAATTACATAAGTCCTCACACAGGTTTCGGGTTGTCTATCTTCCTCTCTCAACTTGTCTTCTGTGTTGTGGGTCACAGAAGGTATATGTGGCCTGTTTCCATTTCTGTCCTGGGTTTTCCCTTACTGGGTGACTAGTTTGTTACTGACCTGGGGTCATTTTGGGCTGGTTTCATGGTCACGGGAGTTGAGTGCATGCAATGGACTTCCCTCAGATTCCGAATGACACATTCTTGGATCCCTGGCATTAGGCTACCCTGTGAGTTCCTTTACTCTGGGACTTGAGGTGAAGATGGTATAATCCTCATCCTACCCTCGAGAGGATGTCAGTATCCACTGAGTGAGGTTTTGGATGTAGTTGACTTGCCAAGTATGGTTCATTGCACCCTAGCCACTCTACACCATGGGACACATCCTCACTTGCCCACTTCCACCATGTGATTGAGTGATTCTGATTTTTGTTTAAAGTCACCTTGCTAAACTATCCTCTCCCATGTGGATGTACTCCCTTTAATGTTCCACCATGTATGGTCCTCCTGATCATGTCAATGTTTTTGTCGATCAGATACCTGGCTCAGATGTGGTGCGGTACCCCTCCTCAGATCATCTGATATGCTCCTCCCATGTCGGGCGTGTCTTCTGGAAGCTTCCTGTGCTTCTCTTGCACTGGTCCCTCCTCCATTTCAATGTGGGATTCAAACTAATCTTGTGCTTGTGAGCGGAGAGAGAGTACCTTATGCGAAGTTATAATTTTCCTAAATGAAAATGTATTTCCGATAGGTACTTTCCTCCACTCACACTTCCTACCCATCCTCCTCGCAATCTTCCTGTTCTCGCATCTTCTGCCAAACATTGAAGTGATAGTTTGTTAGTGGCACGTAGAGGGAGTAACATATGTCACGTGATAGTAATGCTCTACTTTTGATGAAGAGATGATGCATGATAATTTGTGGATTTCAACAGAGTGAGGATGAAGGCTTGTGGCATACGTTTCTAAAAATGTTTGCATATAGAGGGCAGTGCAAAAAGAGAAAAGCTAACCTTGTGAGTGGAGGGAAGTACCAATTGGAAATACATTTTCATTTAGGAAAATTATAACTTCTTTAATTTTCCCATTTGTTTCTTAACAAGCTCAAACTTAATGAGATTGTCTTGTTTAGTCTTGTTTCCATCATCTTGTTCAAGATGAGGAATATTGCTTAAACCTTCATTAGTAAAAATTGAAGAAAAACTTTAATTTAAAAACTCAGTCCTCCCATAACCATCAGATATTAGCTGTCCTGTATGATCCCTCAAAGGTCCTACTCCCATCCTACATTCTGCTTACCCTTGATGTATTTAAAGAAATCCATACTATTAATTTTTACATTTTTAGCCAACATTTTATTTCCCATTTGACCAACTCTATTGATCTTCTATAATCCTCCAAGTCTCCTATCATTACAGCAAATTTGAACTTCTTATATTTATAATGTTTTTTTTTAATTTTATCCTTTATATCCTTAGTAAGCCAACTTATTATTTTACTTGCAGCCATCTTTTTTCCTATAAGGAACAATTTGAATATTTAAAACTTTTTCTTTAAAATATTACCACTTCTGATCAGTATCTCAAATTAATTAAGTTGCCCAATTCACAGCAGCTAATTCTTGTTTCATCTCTTCAAAATTTGTTTGTTTGAAATTTGGAACTAAAATCGCACTCTTCCTTATCTTATTATGCAGCAAAACATAAAATCTAATTGAGCAATGTTTTCTCTTCCCCAATCTCCACCCTGTCAACAATTTCTATATTATAAGTCAAAAATATGTTTAAAATATCATTGTTTTTAATAAGTTCCTTGATAAATTGGTGAAGAAAACCATCCTGTACATCTTAACTGTAAGATTTCTCAGTCTATATGTTTAAAATTAAAATCTCCCATAATTATAACCTTATAAACAAATGAATTCTTGATCTCATGCAGAGTTTCTCATTAATTTCATCTGGTGGTCTGTACCAAATTTCGACTAAAATCCTTCTGCCCAAATAACCACCAACAGAAACTCAAACAGATTCAACCTCGTTGTTGTTAGCTTTAATATCCTTAACTTGAACAGGAAGCAACTCACATTTTATGCACAAAGCCACACTTCCCCCCTTTTTAGTATTCTGTCCCTTTTAAATAACCTATAACCTTGTATTCCAAAGAAATTCCTGTCATGTTCCCTTGTAGGACTGTGTGGTTGGTGGAGTCAATGGACACTGATTTTTTCTTCTTTATTTTATGGATTTTCAATCACCAACATAAAAAGGTGACAGTGTAGGCACACAGTTACCATCTCCTACAAATCTTGTATATTGATTTCTAATTTGACATTTATTAGTAGAAATACCTCTTTCCATGATGACTTCATTTTTGATAGAAGAGGGTTTATAGGGATTTGCTGGCTCTCCAAAATCAGTAAAAGAAATTAAGATTTGAGGACATGCTGGTCGAAACATTATGACCATAGAACAATGAACTCCACATAAAGTTGAACTTCATTAGGGGCATACTTACTGGCCTATCTCCCTACCCAAAAAAAAGAAAAAAGTTGCAATCCATCAAGAGGAGTTTTGTTGAGAAGGGTATTCTTAACATCCCAGTGTCAGAGGTTCATACTGGTCTTTCCAATTAAAGAGTATAAAAAGAATGGAATATTTTAGCCAATGAAGATTCTCATTTTGAAACTTACATCCCCATACCTACCTGTCAATGTCAGTGCAAAGTATTTGAACTTCAAACTAATTTCAGTTAGTTAATTATTTTGGTAACATTAATCAGTGAATCATAATTTTGATTAATGAATTAGTTTATAAGACATTAATCTATATAATCATTGCTCATAGGTAATCAATTATATTGTCCATCTCTACCATGGAGTAGCATTAAGTTAATTTTAAGGTGTGATACAAATATTTGTATGATTTGAGGGATTACCTCCCTTGAATATATTTATTGGAAATGACCACTGATCAAGATAACCTAAGGATTGAGGGATGCTACATTAGGATCATGGTATGATGTGAAACTGTGACATTTGTAATTTTTATTCATGCTTTAAGATATTTTATCAGCCAATGAGAAGTTGCTCAGTGAACATATAGGTTGGCTAGTTGATATACTTAATCATACTTTTTATAAGAATAAAGATTTTGTTAATTTCTACAATTATGTATTTGTGTTTTCTTTGGTGTCCATATTCGAAATATTACTGTGAATAACATATCTGGAACCTCTGTTTTGTAGACATTTGTATCTACCTAACAGATATTAGTGTATCTGAATACCACAGCTGTAGGATACCAATATAATTACATATATACATAAGTAGTACAATGGTTGATGTAATTGTAGAATAGTATTAAGAAATGTAAGTTAAACTTTTTATTAAAATGTAAACTTGAAAAAAAAAGTTATGATAAAAAAACTTTCTTTATGTATCATGAAAAAGTTGATTATTTTTCTTCTAACTTAAATATTTTGCTAAAATTGTGTATTCCAGATTGACCTAGACAAGGTTTTATCTACATGCTGTCAAAATTTCCCAGACTTATTTAAGTTCCATCACAAAAATAGGACATCTTCTGACAGAGATCCTACTGTCAGTAGTGGAAGTTATACAAACAGTGCATCAAGGGCTCAATTAATGAAAGACTTCTTACAGCAGCATTCCATGTAGGTAGCTGTTTGGAAAGTAATAATTGATGCAAGCTGATAAGTCTACTACACACTTTATCATATATATATTTTGAAGGTTTTTGCCACTAATTTTTAAGTATTTTAGCTATATTCCATAATTATGACTCAGTTACCACATTTTAATAGTTTTAGAAAGTTGCCACCTTGAATTTATAAATACTGCACTAATTCTTCATAATGTTAACAATTCTACCTACTGCTTTAAAAGACATCTTGAGGACCTTTTTAATATTCTTTGGTGAATTTTTCTGTTCTGAAATGGCAAAATGTATTAACACTGGTCAAGTCACAAGATTCTATAATAAGACTGTTATTTATTACGTTATGGATACTTCATATGTTAGTATTGTATTTGTAGCTGAATTCATTTTTAGTGTTATCTTTTAAGTAGTAGCAAACAGTATTTTTGTAGGTTTTATATATTTTATCTATTCTAAAGAAATAGTTTTTAATTATGCTTTTTTCTGTAAACTTTGAATCTTTCTCTATTAATTTTATAGTTATAGTTCTTAGTGAGCAAAATTTGTGAGTCTATTACATATAAATATGAGCTAGTGGTTAGCATGTAAACATTTACAAAAAATGCACTCTGTACTTTGAGGCTGTGGGATGTAAGAATTATGATGAAATTCCACTATTTGGTCAGACAAAGTAGCCCAGAAGTTTGCAGCAGGTATTCTTGACAAACTGTTGCCCATCTAGTCTGTAGTTGAGAATTAGGAATGGCTACATGCAGATAGTCCTTTGTATAGCTTTGCATGAAACTTCAAAATAAAAATCTTTACACATTAGAATCATATTTGATCTCTGCACATGAGTCAACCCTGAGGTCATGCACAATCCAGAAAAGCTAATTCTTTAGTATTGTCAAATTGATCTGATTATAAATACTTTATCTAAGGATAGATAACATGTTCTAGTATCATCTACGAGTCATAACGAGAATAAGGGAATAAAACCTTCCAAATACATTTAATATATTATTTTACTTTAAACGTTTCAGTCTTTTGATATCTTTAGTGAAATGTTGTGAACTAGGTACATATCAAACGTTGTTGCTGGTAAATTTCTGCATTTACTACATAAATGTTGGTTGTTTTCATATAGGGAGCTATCAGATTCAACTCACGTGTGCCTTGACTTTTCTAAAATGAAGACAGACTTGGTGGTACAAGATGCACGATCAAAAACCTTGCTCTTGCAGGCCTTGCGCTGGGTAACATTAGAATTTTTGTTATTACATCAAGTAATAGTATATAGATTTTATTTTATGAGAACAAGTTTTGATTTTTATGATACAGTCTGCTGCATTGTAGAATATTAATGCACATGTTGTTGTTAGTGTGTGCACATATAGCACATACTAACAACAACATATTGCTTATATGGCTTAAGATACTGATCAGCTAAAACACCAAGGTCCTTTTCTTCCATAAAATTGATAAGGTTATTCACATCAACTTTATACTCATAGTTCAAATTATAATATCCCACATGCATTACCTTGCATTTATTATAATTAAAAGCCATCTGCCATTTATTCACCTGTCTTACCAAATAATACAAATCTTTTTTTTTTGTAAAGCAGTATCTTTTTCATAACTATTGACACCCAAAATTTAATATCATCGGTAATTTTGAATAATTTTTATACCATTCTTTCATCTATGTCATTGATTTAAATCAAAAATAGCAAAGGTCTCAACACTGAATCCTGAGGTTCCCCACTTGTGACATTAATGCAATTCAAGTGAATCCCATTTATAACAACACTCTGCTTTCTTTCATCCAGCCATTTTTTCTATCCAATGAGAAAACCTACCCCCACACCTTTAACAAGTGTTTTATGTGGCACTTTGTCAGATACTCCAAATTCACACCTGTACTTTCATTTATATAAGCATTAACCTCTTCAAAGAATGGCAAAAGATTAGTAAGGCAAGATTTTCCCTTAGTGAAAACATGCTGACTATTCAACAATATTTTGAACTTTGTTAAATGACTTTGCAAAGCATCTTTTATCAGATTTTTGCAAACCTTTTCCCACCTCTGATGTGAGACCAATAGGCCTATAGTTACTGGGACAATTTTTATGAACTCTCTTAAATAGAAGAGTAACATTAGTCAACTTCCAATCTTCTCATGCCTATCCACTATTCATGGGTTTACAAAAAATGGTAACAAGTGGTTCACACATACAATCCTTCAAAACCTTTAGATAAATATTATCTGGTCCAAGGGCTTTATCATTCTTTAAACTTCCCAATTTCTTTTCTTAACAAGCTTAGAATTAATGTGATCATCTTGTTTGATCTTTCGGTCTATCAACTGGTTGGGATGAGAGATATTGCTTAAATATTTGCTGGTAAATATTGAATAATAAGTAGTATTTGATAACCCAGCCATATATGATATTAGCCTTTCTGTATCATTCCTTAAAATTACAACTCCCATCCTAACATTTTGCTGACCCTTAATGTGTTTAAAGAAATCCTTTCTAGTAATTTTTAATTCTAGCCAACTTTTTTTATATAGTTTCTTCAATTTCCTAATTTTCCATTTAACAAACTCTCTTCATCTTGTATAATTATCTGAACCTCTCCTCATAGCGGTAAATTCAAACATAAATTTATAATGATTTTCTGTATTTTTATCATTTATACCCTTTGTGAACCAACCTGGCTTTTTACTTGCAGCCACCCTTTTTTTTTTATAAAGAACATACCCATGTTCTTTATAAAGCTTAGTTTAGTGAATAGGATGGCCTAGCAGGTTCCTTGTTGCCCTTAACTTATATATGTATACTTAAAAAATATAAACAGATGAAAGCTGTAAGTGTATTAAGTGAAAGTCATATTTATATGGTCACATGAACACAGTGTTTCAGCAGTATTCTTCTCATTTTATCTATGTGTTAAGTGTAATAAATACAAACATATGTTATTGCACAAGTTGGTCCAAACATATACACAAATATCTTAAGTTACACCATGTTGGGTTTTGAGCACTACACAAGTGGGAAAAAAGAAGCACCATGCTATGAAATTAGAGAAAGCATTTTCATAGGTTTTGTAAAAGTGTTTTTTGAAGTTCCCAATATTGGGTCATGATTGATTCATAATTTCCATGAAAAGTTTATTGATGTATAACTGTATATAAAAAAAGCAAATTAAAAACATACTGCTTAGTCTTCTTAGCTTCTGAAAGATCCATGCACTGCAAGGTAGCTTTTGTTTTTCCTTCAGGTTTTGTTAATTTTTCTTAGATTATTGTATATTTTTCCCATCTTATTGGTTTTAAGGAACATTATCTCTATTTTCATAGTGTATTTTTATGCATATTTCTTTAAACATTTGGTCATAAATGATAACACAATTTTTGAGAAAGTCACAGTATACTTATATATAAGTTACAACAAGTGTTAGAATGCTTTGGGTGCCTCAAAAAAAAAGTAATTATAATATTTGTTTACACTAATTCAATACCAAATAAATATTATATCCTTGTCCATAAAAGAGGGGGAAGGGCACAATCAATGGCAAGCTGGTAACTATCTATGGTAATTTATTAAAAAAGAAATAGTATTAAAAATTAATATTTTTTTATCTAATAAGGAAAGCTGTGCAGATCAGAACCACCATAATAAAAAGTAAAACATGTTAGAAGTTATACAATGCCCATCCAAGTTTTATTTTAGCAAGAAATTTTACATAAAGAAAAGAAAAAGTCAGTGCCAACTTGGTTGACTGTTGCTGAGCATTTAGTAATGTGTGTATGGTGTTTTGTTTAATAAAGCATACTATTTTATTTGTTAACCATTGTCATAATTATATGCTTATTCAAATAAGCTGATGTATTTAGATCTAGAAAAATGGGAATTAGTTTGGGGTTTCATATATGTTTTCTAGTAATTTGAATACCTTATTTGATTATTCATATGATTTCTCCAGCGTCTGACCAAGACTCAACCAGGAGAGGAACGGGATGCTGTTCTGTCATCTTACATAAATAATGACCTTTTGGGTTGTGAACAGCCTTCACAGTATAGGGTTTGAAGTTTTTTTTATTTTTACTGTATCATTGTTTTAACTGGTTCTATAAACATGTTCTTTTCATTTGTAGCTCCGTTGTTACTTTTGTACCATTTTCCTTAATTGTCTTTTTTAAAATTTTGATTTAATAATATAGTTGACCAGAAATTAGTAGCTACAAATGTGTACTCAAGTATTATTTTTATTTTTCTAGCAGTTCTTTTAAAAATCTTTTGTCTTTTATTTGTATCATACACAATTTTATGATAGTTAAATATCTTTTGAGTATCTAAAACTTTTAAAAATAAACAGCATAATAAATAAAAAAGCCCCAGCTATGTACAATCATTCCAGTGGTTTGTAACCCTGTCTGTGGAAATGTTGTTTGTAGCAGCGTGTGCTCCACATGATGAGAAGTCCAAACAAAAACCTCCATCAAGCTTTGCTGAGGTTCCTCAATGCTTTTGCATCCTTTAGCTCAGGTAAGTTCTTGTATATTTCCTATGAAGAAATTTAATTTGTACCCTTGTCTCAGTTCCAGAACAAAAAACAGTTGTGAAGGTAAAATTAACAGAAATGATAAAAATACAATAATTTTATTAAGCATTTAGGATAGTTGGCCATCTAGATATCTGAATGTAATTTAAATTTTTGCAGCTCGAACGTATTTGTGTAAGTGTCCACAGCTACTTGCTATTCTGCAAGACAATTTGATCAACAACAGAGTCAAAGACTCAATTTCTCAAGACATGACTCTAGGAATAATGCAGAAACTTAGCTTGAGGTATGCATAATATTTTATTATGTAATTCAACTGTCTTTGATTAGTTTTACTGAAATATTTGAATCTAAAATCAGAGTAACAGAAAAGTTGATTTTTAAATATTGTTGACATAATTACTAGATCCACATATCAAAAGTTAATGATAAATGAATTTGATTTTTCTTTCTTGTAATTTCACCCTAGACATTCTCTACAAACAACAATGATTGCAGGGGGTGTTGTGGAATGGCTAGTAAATACATTAGGAAAAGCTACTGAAACTCTTAGTGACTATGGACTAGAATATGGTGTGGCACTACTGATGAACCTGTGTTTACGGACAGCAGGTCAGTAGTTTAATATTAAGTCTTAAGTAAGTTTATGCTTTAGTGTTCTTTTTAAGTTTGATATGAATAATATGTTGATTAAAAAAAGAAACCATTTCTTGATGTTGTTAGGGAAGAAACGGTGTATTGACATGGCACAGAGGATTCTTCAGTTACTAGTGGATCTGTTAAAACTACAGAATTCAGAGGTAAAGTTTATCTGTTAATTTAAATGTAACTTTTAAACTATGTATAAAATAATACTCAGTTTTGTCTGTCCTGAACATGTACAAACACCTTACTATCTAAATGAGTGTGAGTATGGATGTAAACAAAAGGTGGTTGTAAATATACTTTAGTAGATATTTTGTATTAGAAGCTTATGAAAGTTATTAAAAAGGTCTAAAGTTAGGTTGTAGAATAACATTATAAGTTTATTTATTGATAGTATTGCTGGATGGCCAAAGGTGCGACTTTGTCATAGATTCTGCATCTCAGCAAACCCTTGTGAGTATCAAGGTGCTGGATCTCAAAGGAGTACCAGAAGCCACACAGAAGCTCTGTGGTGTGACAGGACATTATGCAAGGTTGTGGGGACCAGTGTGGGTAACTATTGAGCTCATAGGCATGAAGGACAGTCACAAAGTATACTTGGCTGACATTGAAGATCAATGCATATTTGGGTTGGACTACTTACTACCGAGGAAGTGTGTAATTAATTCTGATGAAATGACGTTTGGGAACAACAAAGGCCAAATTCCGGTAAATGTTAAAAGAGAGGTTGGACTAACCAGGTGTCATCAAGCTGAACTCAGAGTGACTGAAGGAGTTTATGATGATAAAATGGAACCAGGTATAGATATTAAATCAGAGCAGGAGAAAGACCAAGATTTGAAGCCAGTAATTGATTTTCTAAAAGAACTATTGTGCACAATGGGACCAGTTGAAGCTTGAAGATGGTATTCTTGTCCAGAGATGGGAAAGTGACGACCTGGCAAACAGTTATACCGAGAAAGTTACGG